GCGCGCCTCGGGGGGCCCCGCGGCGGCCACAGGCCTCATTAGGCGGGAGAGGTGCCGACGCCGAGGCTCTTGCCTCGGTTTCGCCCTGTTCGCTATGGAGGAGCGGGTCCCGAGGGAAGCTCGGGACACGCTGCAAATTCAAGCAGGTTGCTGCGGGGGTCCCTGCCCGGAGGCAGGAAGGGCTCTGGGGCTATCCTGCGCCGCCGGCTCGGATCTGAAGCCCTCTCAGCTCTCAGAGAGCTATCCAGGAAGCACCTGAACAGCGGAGCAGTCTAAAGCGCGTAAGCACGGGTCCTGAGGTTTCTTTCCGTTTTCCGGGTCTCAGGGCCCTCCACGGGGCCCAGTAGTGAGAGAACGGCGCAGGATGAAAATCTTATCCTTGGGGAGGGCACCAGGGTCGAGGACTTGTTTCCCCCATGCTAACCTTGTTTCTGGCGGGTGGTATCGGGAGATGGTTTGTGTGCGGGGTGGAGAAAGGGGCCGAAAAGGACAAAGGAGCCCTAATCTCCACTCCGCATTTAGGTCAGCCCTCATGGCCACCCGCCCGATTGTTTGGGTCTCCTGGGAGGTCGTCGTCGCCACGGCTGACTTCGCCTCGAAATTCTGGTCGGAACGCACCCTGGGGGAGGTCCGATGAGCAGCGGTATAGGTATCCCTCCTCAGATCTCCGCCGATCCGTTGTGTTTTTCGACTGTTTTTCTGTTGGGCGTTATTCCTAGATTTCGACCTCCGTGGCTCGTCATCGGGCCCTGGGACCATCGGACGGCCCTAGAAACTCAGATAACTCCGTTCCAAAGCGTTGCGGAACGCTCTCGGAGCGCTCTGGAACGCGCTGAAACGGTCGCGGCGCCCGATGCATCCTCCAAGCCCGCCAGTTCTCCGAGATTTCCGATTCATATCGATTCGATTTTGTCTCGATTCTGACTCCGTCTTAACCCCCCTCTGTCGGACCCGACATGCCGGTGGATCTTTTGTGAGCGTCCTCGGGCGCGGGCCCCAATCCGTCTGCATCATCCCGTGTGCACTATGTGCCCGCACCGATGAGGGAAGCTCGCCTGCTGCCCGTGCTGCTCTGTCCGGGGCGCTCGGCGTCCATGGCCAGCTCTCTCATCCACATCGGTCCGATTGTGCCTCGGTCCCGACATCGTCTTACCCGAGGCCGCTGAGCGCCGAAGCCGATCTCTCGTGCGCGCCCCGGGGGGTCCAGCGGCGGCCCAGCCCCCAGGGGAGGAGCGGGTGCCGATGCGGCTGCTCGTCCTGGGTCAGGAGGGGAAAAAAACACACAGACACAATTAATTTTCGATTCCCAGGAAAATATGGGAAAATATGGGAAGTGGGGGGAAGACAGAAACCCCGAAAATATAGGAAAATATGGGGAATCTGTTTATTTGTGTGTATTTATTTGTGTGTCCTGGGGCCCCTTCACTGGGTGCGGGCAAGACTGATGCCCATGTCCACTGCGCCCTGGGCTCGCTTTTGGAAGGGGCGCCATACGGCCGAGGCGCACCGGGTGTGGGCTTGCATCGCGCCTCCTGGGGGGCAGGTTTTTGCCCACGTCCACTGCGCCTCGGATCTCGCGGGGAGGGGGGCGCGCAGCTCCAGGCTGCCGTGGACGTGGGCAGAAGTGCTGCCCCGCGCTGTGGCGCCCTCGCCGGCCGCGCGCGGAGAACGGCCGATCGGCGGACGTCAGGGAGAGATCGCGGCGGGCTTTTTCCGGCTTCCTCCTCCCCTCCCTCCTCTTGGACGTGCCAGTGAGGTACGCAGCGTTCAATGCTTCCAGCCCAGGCTGCAGGTCTGGAGCCGTCAGCCACAGAGCCACAGCTGCCGCCATCAGCTGCCCAATCAATCAATCAATCAATCTTCGGGAGGAGGAGCCGGTCCTGGGGAAGTGGCCTGAGCCTCCAGTGGCCCACGGTAAGCCAACACATGAGTCGCCCGAAGTTTTGGGCCCGTGCGGCGGGCGGCATTCCTTCTGGACGTTGCCGCCGTGTTTGCTGTCGTATATGGTCGTTCCGCTACAGAGAAGAGCTTGCAATCTATGTGCAACCTACACGGTACAAATATTTGGTATATTTGCTACATAAGCTATACATATAGAGGGAGCGGAGGCTATATACATATAACGGCGCACAGGGTCCGGGGGCCCGGGGCCGGGACCTCGACCGCAAATGTGGGCCCCGGGGGGCCCGGAGGCTCGTCGGACCGCCGGACTGGACGCCGTCCAAGATCGTTCGCAGGCGGCTTCGGAACGCGCTCCGATGGCTCTAGATGCCTTCCAAGACGCCTGTCATGACACCAAGACGGTCCCAGAAGCCTCCAAGACGCTCCGAGAGGCAGCCCAAGAGAGGCCCAAGAAGCAAAAATCGTGCCATTCCTATGGGAAAACGTATATTTTTCGCATGTTCGCATCTTGGGCTTTCACCGCGTCCAAGACGGCCCAAGAGGCCTCCAAGACGGCCTAGGAGGCCTCCGGGAGCGCTCCAAGGCTGCGCACGAGTGGCCAGGACGGCCCCAAGACGGCCCAAGAGAGCCCCAAGACGAGTTCGAGAGGGGTCCCAGACGGAGAAAGCCAACCTCGAATTCCGAGCTTCCGGCCCAAGAGGCTCCAGGAGGCGCCAAAATGCCGCCAAGAGGCGCCAAAGGCTCCCAAAAGCACCCCAAGACGTTCCGAGAGGCACCCCAAGAGAGGTCCAAGAAACAAAAATCGTGCCATTCCTATGGGAAAACGTATATTTTTCGCATGTTCGCATCTTGGGCTTTCACCGCGTCCAAGACGGCCCAAGAGGCCTCCAAGACGGCCTAGGAGGCCTCCGGGAGCGCTCCAAGGCTGCGCACGAGTGGCTCAGGACGGCCCCAAGACGGCCCAAGAGAACCCCAAGACGACTTCGAGAGGGGTCCCAGAAGGAGAAAGCCACTCTCGAATTCCGAGCTTCCGGCCCAACACATCCCAGGAGGCGCCAAAACGCCGCCCAGAGGCGCCAAAAGGCTTCCAAAATCAGCCCAAGACGTTCCGAGAGGCACCCCAAGAGAGGTCCAAGAAGCAAAAATGGTCCCATTCCTATGGGAAAACGTATACTTTTCGCATGGTCGCCTGTTGGGTGTTCACCGCGTCCAACACGTCCGAAGAGGCTCCCAAGACGGCCTAGGTGGCCCCCAAGAGAGTTCCAAGACGGTTCACGAGGCGCCCAGGACGGCAAAATTGGATTCCAAAATGGCCTAAGAGAGCCCCAAGGCGTGCCCGAGAGGGGTCCCAGAGGGAGAAAGCCACTGTAGAATTCCGAGCTTTCGGCCCCAAGAGGCTCCAGGAGGCGCCAAGAGAGCTCCAAGAAGCCCCCACGAGAGACCCAGGACGCCCCAAGAGGCTCCAAAGGCGGCCCAAGAGAGCCCCAAGATGGGCCCGAGAGGGGTTCCACGCAAGTTGTTATTGTATGGCTCGGGAAAGGACGAGGATGAGGATGAGGAGGAAGACGAGGAGGAGGAGGAGGAGGAGGAGGAGGAGGAGGAAGAAGAAGAAGAAGAAGAGGAAGAGGAAGAGGAAGAAGAGGAGGAGGAGGAGGAGGAGGAGGAGGAGAGGGAGGAGGAGGAAGAGGAGGAACAGGAGAAGGAGGAGGAGGATGGGTGCTGTGGACGCCGCCGAAGCTTCCCGGTCTAGCGCCCCTCGTCGCAGCGGCTGGGCGCAGCCCGAAACGTTGGAGCGTTCGGAGTCCCGGGGTCGATTTTGAGACGACTTTGCGTTTCCAGTGTCTCGCCCTTCTCCTCGACAGTCGAAGGCCAGACTGACAGATTGCCTTGGGTTCCAGGGGCCACTCTGGCGTGGCCAGGTTGGAGGTTTTTCCTTGCTCGCCAGTCTGTAACCTCGCTGGCTCCCTCGCCAGATTGCCAACTTTTGCCAGAATGGGGCCGCCAGATTGGCGCCAGATTGGCTTCGACTTCGCGTCCCAAGATTTCAGTGTCTCGCTCTTCTCCTGGACAGTCGAAGGCCAGACTGACATATTGCCTTGGGTTCCAGGGGCCACTCTGGCTTGGCCAGGTTGGAGGTTTTTCCTTGCCCGCCAGTCTGTAACCTCGCTGGCTCTCCGCCAGATTGCCAACTTTTGCCAGATTGGGGCCGCCAGATTGGCGCCAGATTGGCTTCGACTTCGCGTCCCAAGATTTCAGTGTCTCGCCCTTCTCCTGGGTAGCCGAAGGCCAGACTGACATATTGCCTTGGGTTCCAGGGCCACTCTGGCGTGGCCAGGTTGGAGATTTCTACTTGCTCGCCAGTCCGTTACCTCGCTGGCTCCCCCGCCAGATTGCCAATTTTTGCCCGATAGGGGCCGCCAGATTGGCGCCAGATTGGCTTCGACTTCGCGTCCCCACTTCCTTCTCACAACGATTCCTGGGTCTGTGACTCGACAGAACCTAAGCGCGCGCGAAGCGCGCGCGCGTGGTTCTAGTATATATTTATATATATATATATATATATATGTACATATTTATACGTAACATGAAAGAACATGGGATATATATACATATAACGGCGCACCGGGTCCGGGGGCCCGGGGCCGGGACCTCGACCACAAATGTGCACCCCGGGGGGCCCGGAGGCTCGTCGGGGCTTGCCGTAGGCCTCCCCAGTCAGACAAAACGGCCCAAGAAGCGCCCAAGACGGCCCAAGAAACTTCCAAGAGGCCTCCAAGAGGGCTCCGAGATGCTGAAGATGGCCTCCAGACCTCCAAGGACGCCCCCAAGAGGCCCCAAGAAGCTCCAACATGCGTCCCAAGAGGGCCCCTAGACGCAAAAATTGGCCCATTCCCTTCGTAAAACGTACATTTTCAACAAAGTTGTCTTTTGGGCTTTCCGACGTTACAGGACGGCCCAAGAGGCGCCCAAGACCGCCCCAAGACGGCCCAAGAAGCTTCCAAGAGGGCCCCAGGACAGCCCAAGAGGGCCCCAAGACGGCCCAAGAGGCGCCCAAGATGGCCCAAGAGGGCCCCAAGACGGGCCCAAGAGGGGGCCCA